ACAAACTTAACAAAATTTCAAAGCCATTCACAACAATCTGCTAAAATCAGCATAATGAGCACCACATGCCAAAGATGTTCACAAGTTTGCGTCTCGCTCGTTCAACAGGTGGTGGATGAAATAATCCTACCACTTCTAATACTAACCGATTTTGTCGCGCTTAAGGATAATTAGCACTCAAGTCTTTTGGTTTGTGTGGGAGCCTCAGCCACTCTGGGATGGAAATGAATAAAACACAAACTAAAAATAAAAATCATTGCTTACAAGTGGGTTTTCAGTGTTATTACTCTGCTGTGAACCCGCATGATTCATAATCATTTATTTTAGTAGCCTTTCCATGACCCAAGTTAAGAACTTTGCAGAGACAAGCTTTTATTCTGCACACAGATACACATAGATCCAACCGGGGTCCACGGGGAATGTGCAGCACACACACTTTAAAGATCCCCTCCATGCACATGAGCGAAACATAAAGACCGAGATAATGTATGCCCCCAAATTACACTTGATGAATAACTTAACATTTAAAGCTCTGCTCTAATTTGGGCAGGAGTAAAGGGGAGGGCTGGGAGGAGAAAATGAGCTTGACATGACCCAGTTACATTTATGAATGAGTTTGTTCCCCGTGGCGCGGCCGGTTTCATTTTCGATCGGTCAAAGCGGAGGGGGAAAAAAAAAAGGTAAAAAAAGGTAAACATTTGTTAAAAAACAATCAGAGACGCGTTATCAAGGGAAGGAGGGGAATATCTCAAACACGCTCTCAGTGGATTACGTCTAAAGGAAAGTTGAAAACAGCAATCAGGTCCACGCGACTATTTCCCATCTGGGCTGAATTGTCCTCATCAGCCTCAGCTTGAATCTCTGCGAATGGAAATGATGTGAAGATCTCAGCAAGCGGTTCTCTTTCTGCCACTTCCTTAAAGGTCTCGTGCCCTCTCTTAAATTTCCACACCAACCGAAACCTCAGCAGCCTCGAGCATAAACAGGTGCAACAGTGGAGAGGCGGCACACGGGGAATTTCACGGAGCACTTTAAAAATATCTGCAGCAGACATATTGTCAGTAGATACCAACTCAGCCTTTTTTTAAAAAAAAAAAACACTGTGAGCATCTCTGTGTTAAGCGAATCCTCAAACTGCTTGTTATGAACAGCTTTTCAAGGCTACGGTACAATGATGAGATGATTAGTGGTTCCAAATGAAATTGTCCTGTTGAGCTTGTTTGTGTTCATTTTTATTAAAAGCTGACTCATGAAGTATCACAGAAATGGCTGTGAAATAATCAGCAATGTTGTGTTTCTTTTTCGCGTCGGTTTCTGAAGGTTAGAAGTATTCGATATCTTTAATTTTTGGTAAAGTGAGTGTAACTCTAAGTGCACATTTAGGTGGTTAGCAGCTTTGCAACTTTGGGTGTCTGGGAAAACAATTGAAACACAAAAAACTACTTTAAAAAAAAAAAAGATTAAACCATGACAGTAAGGGCGTCAGAAAAAAATATGTTAAAAGCGTACAATTTAAAAAAAAATAAAAAAATTTTAAAAGCTAGTATATGTAAAATACGGTTTGTTATGTTTGTAGAAATAAACAGATACTGAAAAAAAAGCATACATTTCTAGTCACATATTATATATATATATATATATATATATATATATATCATTTGTAAAAAAAAAAACAAACAAACATTATGTGGATATTATTGACAGTTTTGGCCTGTTTTTTATGGTTGATTAGTAATCTAAAATATATTTTTTAAATGGGGCTGCAAGGTGGCGCAGTTGGTAGCACTGTTGCCTCGCAGCAAGAAGGTCGCTGGTTTGCGTCCCAGTGAGGACACCCGTGTGGAGTCTCCATGTTCTCCCCGTGCAGTGTGGGTTCTCTCCGGGTTCTCCGGCTTCCTCCCACACAGTCCAAAAACATGTTGAGGTTAATTGGTGATTCTAAATTGTCTGTAGATGTGAATGTGAGTGTGCTTGGTTGTCTGTCTCTAAGTGTAGCCCTGTGATAGACTGGTGACCTGTCCAGGGTGTCTCCTGCCCATGACCCTCGTGAGGATTAAGCGGTGTACAGATAATGGATGGATGGATGGATGGATATTTTTTAAATGCAGATTTTTGATGTTATTTAAAGTTTTGTTTTGTTTTGTTTTGTTTTACAATTAACTAGTCATTTAATAATAGTAATCTGGCACTAGTAATTTGGCAGCAATAGTGTAAAAAAAAGTGTTAAAAATGTCAGAACACTGCAACATTCAAGAACTATTTTTAAAAAATTAGTTAAAAATAATTTCATTTTTTGTGGATTTCGAACAATAAAATAGTCTAACCGAGACCGACCTACTATTAGTTAAAACTGCAGGTTTCTGATGTTGTTTTCCGATGTTTTATACATAGATATATATATATAATTACTAATTAGTCGTCATTTTCAGTAGTCATTGTCATTACCTGTAATTATCTGAGCAAAACAATGAAACACAAAAACGATCATATCTGTCACTTAATTTATTTTTTTTTTTTTAAAAGGAGAAACTCTTTCAGCAGGGTGTCAGAAAAAAACATGTTACTAATATAACGTTCAAGAACTGTAAAAAAAATAAAATAAAATAAAAATTTAAAAGGTCAAATATCTGTAAAATACCGACATGTTTTTAGTAGATTTAAACCTGTAGAACAGCGTAACTTTATGGTTACAATAAAGAAAGAACTACCAAAAATACAGCTTTCTGATGTGGATGCTATTGACAGTTTTGGCCCGTTTTATTGTTAACTCATCATTTAAAACTTTTTTTTTTTCTGTGATTTTATTGGTTATTATCTGTAATTTACCAAAAGGGAATAAATCTGTAAAATAGCAAGAAACTACAGCTACAAACTGTTAAAGAAAGAAAAAAAAAACAGGCATAAACAATATCTGTTTACTTGGTCCACAACCACTGGAACAATCTGTTGTGATTTGTGGTGCTCGGTCATATAATTAGGATTCAACAATCGCACCAAGTGTTGATCAGCTGCTTGGCTAAAGTAGAATTCTTTGTTCATAATGCGAGAGTGTGTGAAGTTCGTATTTCATGTGAATCGGACACACGTGCAGGGATTCACCTGTACGAAGTTGAACTCTCTCCAGCTGAGAGCGTTGCTGACGGAGGGCAGAGACGTTATTCCCAAAAGGACGAACAGGCCGAATCCCAGAATCCCCAGAGCCAAGTAGGAGTCGTTCCGCCAGGCCATGGTGGATTCAAACGGCGACGTTTTGTTCTCCCTGATCTGAGTAAACAAGGCAGAGGGATGTCTCTTAACTCTTTGTGGAAACAGACAACTATGATTCAACACCTGTGAACTTTTTTTTCTTACCAGTGAGATCGCATTCGCTGTGAGCTTGTTTCTCACATAATACCTGGGGACAAAAATAAAAACAATTTAATGAAAAAACATCTGGAATATCAAGACGGGCATACCTCTTACATATCTGAGGTGGTAGTTATCCAATAACACAGTAGGAATTGATGAAAATCTGTGAAACTCCTGGGGTTTTAATATATTAATCTGCGGTTTATTATGATCCCTCCCAGTGTTTGGTAATTTAGCTGCAGTTCCATTAACGAATGTCATTTAGATCTTGTTAAAAATGACGGCTTATATTGTCTTTCCCCAAAATTACATCCCTAAACAACTAAACTGCATTCTTAATTACATTTTTGGGGGGGAAACACATCTTCTGCCAGATGATGTTTGTGACGTATTACAGATGCAGTTTAACTCAACATATCTTTGCCCTTTATTTACCGTCAGACAACCAATCATATACTAGATACGGCAGGACTCGTCACTAACCCGGGGAATGGAGGAGAAGCTTCAAATATGTAGTGAAAAGGGTCGTATTTTAACCCACACCGTGCTTTTTTCCCTCCTTTACCCCCAGCCAAGTAGTAGTTTTGTTGCCTAAAACTAGCCTCAAATAGTCAGAACTCGTCAGACTCTCTGATGGAGACTGTGGGTTTAAGCAGGAAGCTTTCTCCTCTTCTTCCTCTATGTGTTCCTGTTTTCAAAATCAACTCAAATAGGGGAAACAACAACCTCCAAGCAGTAACCTACCGCACTGAAAATAAAGTTTAGCCAAAGAATTTTATTAAGAGTGCAATTTCATCCACCTTCTGTACACTGATTTATCCCAGCTCAACCAGACTTAGGGCGAATGTCTAGATAGATAGATAGATAGATAGATAGATAGATAGATAGATAGATAGATAGATAGATAGATAGATAGATAGATGGATGGATGGATGGATGGATGGATGGATGGATGCTTCATTCATCCCCCGAGAGAAATTCAAGACAACTAGTAGCTCACACATATTACATTTAAGAAAAATGAGGAAACCAATGTACAAAAGAACACGCAATTAACATGCAAATCATGCTGGTCAAAGAAATAAGGTGCAAAAACTGCTGGTTTTTACAAAAAAGTTGCAAAATTGTTGGTATTTACAATAAAAACAAGCATTAAAAAATCAAAGCAGAAACAACGTTAAGCATACAGGAGGGATACTTGGGTCGTGGTGGGCCCAGGATTTTAGAATCACCAGTTGAACTAAGCATGTCTGTGGGAGGAAGCACCTATTCCATCACCATGGTGCCCCTCCTCCAAGGTGTGACTGAAGAAAGCAGGGCTAAGCGCCGAACAAAATAGTGACGGGGAAATAGTTTTAATTGACGATTTACGTGCAAAGAGGCGAGTACTGTCATTAAAAAAGAAAATCCCAAGAACAGCCATGCAGACCTGCCCCTTTATGTTTCCAGATTCTCTGTAAAGGTTGCAGCGTGCAGGTTGCTGCTCAGAGGTCATCGTAGTTTTGGGGTTTTAAAAATGAACAGTAACACAAGAGAAGCCACCTTGAAGAAACTTCTAGTCCTCGTTGTGAAACTGATGCTGGATATTTTCTGACACTTAAGCATGCAGTTGTGGTGCCCAAAGCTAAACAATAGTGAGTGGAATTAAAAAAAATAAAAAAAAAAAGGTGGTGAAAATGAAACTAGAGTCTAAGAATAAAGGTCCAACCTGAGCTGCAGTCTCCAGTTTCCTGCCTCCATCCTCTCCTCCTACCTCCACACACGGAGCCTTTCACTGACAGAGTTAGTGTAATTTGTGTCAAACTAAATTACATTTCTTTCAGAAGATAAAGAGACAATGCGGTTTAGATGTTCGGGAAACAGAATTTTTGGAATTCAGGGGTTGCGCACTCACGTCACATGAAAACTGACTTATCTCCGTGACAAACGAGCAGCCTTCACCCACTGAGGACTTGATTTTATTTCGCTCTGTAACATCCCTACTAAGAGCTACAGCGGCCTGGTTATTTGATGCATTTAACTAAAAGTAAGGCAGCGTAATACAACAGCCCCCATCGACCTCATTTATATCAATGACGGCGGAATGCATTTAACAAACACCTCTCGGCAGAACACGATTCCCGTTCGACGGCGGCACAAACGGAACGGCAGCCAAAATGAGCACAAAGCTGAAACAATAGCTCTCTAAAACAGATCCAGCACGAGCCCAACACTAAAACCCCGATTGTGTGTGTTTATTGAAAGTGCAAGACAAGTAATTAGCAGGAGGACAAGACAAGAGAAAGAAACAGCGGCAATAAATACCGACAGGCTTGAGTAATTAACTGGAGGTACCTGAGTGCAAAAGAATAGATTCATTTGTATTTTCTGATTGGATTATCAATGCATTGTATTTTCTTTGTGTTTGTGTGTGTGTGTGTGTGTGATGATAAAGGAGGAAGAGAGAACAGGACCAAAAGGAAGTAATGGATGAGTAAAAATGGATAAAAACGATATGGGTGCATACCAACAGCGGTGATTATAATTTAAAAAATACACTGTTTTGAATGGAGACGTGTGCAGATGTTTGCTACCTTTGGGGGATGATCAGTGTGTAAAACACATGCAGGAAAGCAAAGGCAAGCGCTAACAGTCCCAGCTGTTTCCTGCACAGCATCCAGCGGTCCAGCCAGTCGGGGAAACGCCTGAAACGAGAAGAGTTTTGATTTGTCACATATTGCACAGGCAGTGAAATGCAGAGTGACTGTTCCAGCAGGCTGCGCAACAAGACATGATAAAAAGAAAAACAACATTCCTTAGAAACAGAAAAAGTCATAAATAACTAGAAGTAAAGAGACTGTGAAACCAAAGTGCGATGTACATTGTGTAAGAGTTGCAGTTTTGTACTTGTGTGTGTGCAAACGTCTATATGTTATGTGTGTATTTACATTTGTCATTTGTGTGCTGCAGCTCAGAGATAAGCTGCTACAGAAACTCTGACGGCAAGAGTGCCAGAAAAAATAGGTTAAAAATGGTGGAATACTTTAAAAGGTGTAAAAATGATGGAAGCATCTGTAAACCTGTGTGATTTTATAGTTATACATTGTGAAAGTATAAATTCCTGTTTTTTACTCCATTTTTGATGTGGGCAATATTCCATCCATCCATCCATCATCTATAATAATCCTCACTAGGGTCATGGGGGGCTGGAATCTACAGGGCTACACTTAGAGACGTGGGCAATATTATCAAAATAATAATATGAGTACTTTTTTTTTTTTAAATTAAAAAAAATTAAAAATTACAATTTAATGAATTCGATTTTTAAAAAAAAATATCTTTAATTTAACAAAACAGACAAAAATCTATAAATATATTTAAATATTTAATATATTTTATTTGTCATTCAAACAACAACAAATATGTGTAAAATAAGAATATTTTAGTTGAATTAAATACAATTAAAAAATTATTTACAGTTTAATATCGGAAAAAGAGCTAATTACAACTTGAAAGAAAAAAAAGATTTTTGATGTGGACATTATGGACAGTTTTGGCCTGTCACTTATTTATATTTTTTGGTATATTTTTTGTAAATTCCAACTTTTTTTTTTTCAATAATTTATACTCGATATATGTAATTTAATAAATCAGGGGGGGAAAAATCTGTATTAAAAAAAGAGAAGTAAAAAATAATCTTAAATTGTAATAATAAATAATTAAATAATAATAATTTTTTATCCCTAATTTACATAATTTTTTTATTTAAATAATGACGAATATCTGAAAAACTATGGTTTCATCACTGATTTAAATACAGTAAAAATTGTGTCATTTTACAGTCAGACAGGTAAAAGAATAAAATTGAGGATTTTTGGCATTGCAGTATTATTATTATTTGTTATTTATTTACAGTTTCCATCTCATGTTTTACTCTTACATTCCTGTTTTTTTTTTTTTTTTACAGTTTATGATTTAGATTAAATCTGACGTCAGCGCTCACAGTCCTGACAGCCTGAAGACAGAAGCTCAAAACAAGCAAATGTTTTTCTTTTCCAATACATTATTCAAAAAGTGTTGGCTGTTGTACACGTGTGCAGCCACTAAGCATCAGTCGTCCCCGTGTTGACGTCTGACCTGTACTTGGTTCCTCTGTAGAGCTGGAGGAAGGCGGCGATGACTCCCGGCAGGTAGCACAGGGCCAGCATGATGAGCGACACGATGGGAAACACCTGAAGCAACAGAGGAGATCATTGCCACGGTGACATGCAGGAGATTGGAGGGAAACATCTGGAGGAACATCTGCTGATTCGTGAGGTAATAAACACCTTGTTCGCCAGGGACACCATGAGTCTGAAGGAGATGTCGTCCCCCTTTTGAACATACGCGTAGATAACGATTCTGGTCAGCAGGTAGAGGTAGAAGAAGGCGGTGAGGCCGACGGCCACACGGAGAGGCAGCCTCCACTCTGGGAACAGCTGCAGGGGGAAGTCCTCCAGCTCTCCGGCTGCAGACAGAGACCCTCGATCCAGAACCGTGAAGCCCAGCTTGGTGGCGATTTCCGCTACTGCCTGCTTTGCCTCGGCACTGTTCCCGCACAGGTACACCTGCAGCACCAAAACATTGATTGTTTTAAAAAGGCCCACACGAGGAGCCTTCATATTTCACATTTATGTATTTATGTTTATCCATTTTTGATGAAAGGATGGTTTCATCTCCAGAGAACCGAATATAAAAAGCACATGGAGATGCCATGTCTTCTTGTGTGAACATTTAGTAGAAGAAAGCAGGTATAAAGTCAGAGAACACCTATGTGAAGCTGCTGATGCTGCTCCAAATACACAACCCAGTGCATAAAAACACACACACACACACACACACACACACTCACACACTCACTCTTCCCCTGTGTGGTTTTTACCGTCCTCTGGGACCAAGAAAGCAGATCAAAAAATGAAACAGAAAAACCCACATATGCCGCAGCTTTGCAGTACAGAGCGCGAGAGCAAAACACGCGATGGGAAGCTCAGATCTAAGGGAGACTGTGGAGTTAATTGATTCAAGGATACATCAGAGATGGCATTCACAGCAAAGACATAAGGCCGACTCCTCCAATTTGGCTTCTTTTACTCGGATTGGGTTTGATCAGAACTTCAAAATGAGTTAATAATATAATTTTGGACTGAAAAGCTTTTCCTTTCTGGAGGAGACTATTATTTTTAACTTGTTGGTCAGCACCCACAGTGTGAAGACATCAGAGGCTTGTCAAACGCTCGCGGTTCTGCAGTGGAATCCGACAAGCAATTTGTGTAAAATGATGCATTTCTAAACAGCAATAGAAAGAAACTCTTGATCTATAGCATTTTTTTTTTTTTCCCAAACACAATCTGTGAACACCACAATAGAATACCTGTCTGTTGGCATCCGCGGGTCCGTTCTGGAGCGTCCAGGCAGACAAGGTGTTAAAAGCTTTCACCACATGAGCTCCAGGGACGAGCCTGAACAACAAAACAACAAACTTTAGCTCCATGTTGTTGTTGTTGTGTCAGTATTTTAGAGTCTTCGCTGCCTAATTTGCCCCCTCCCACCTCTGAAGATGCTCGGCGTTGGCCTCCGGGTATAGATTCCTCTTCGGGTTGTTGCTGACATCCACCAGCACCTTTCCAAAGAAATCAATGAAATCGGCGGAGTGAGAGGAGAAGTTGGAAAACTAACCAGCTGGTATGTGACACAAAAGGCATCTGACTGTGCGACGAGGTACCTTCCCCTTGAGTTGAGGCGCGAGCGTCTCCAAGAAGCCGTAATGTTCTCGGTGGACACAGTTAAAGACCAGAGTGGCTGATTGGGCGGCCGCGCTGTGGCTCATCACCTGCAGAAACACAAACAGTGTTTTCACGCATGTTCACCAAGAACTGGTTCAACAGAGACACTCGTATTTGTCACCAAAAGTGCAAAATTCCATCGATTTCTTATTGTTAATTATAACACAAAGTATGCACAGAAACAAGCTGAAGCTACACTGCACAGGACTTACTAAACGAAAACGCCACAGAGAAAAATTCCCTTCAAGGAGACAACCTCAAATTATATACAAGACAATGAAATTCAGAGAGCCACAAGCAAAATACACTAAAAATGTCCATCGTCAGCTAAAAAGGAACCATGCATGAGCGAAATTTAGAGGCCAAAAAAAAAAGCGATAGTACACCCAAATCAAAATCTCTCTCTGATGATTCACCGTTATTAGCTTAGCGCGCTACAAAAACACATTTTCAAAGCGCTTCACCTATTTTTAAAGCTCTGATATGCACTTTTAACTGATTCTGTAGAAGTTTTTCAGCCGTTTTCCTTTAATAGAGGCTGTAGTTCCAGGCCAGTAGGACTATGTGCCCGACTCGCTCCACTGTCATCAAGTTTTAAATGATTTTCCTGAACAGTCAGGACCATTGTCAATCCTGGTCGCCGTTTATCTGGTGCAGGAAAACACCTGTGAAGATCATTCTTTGCCTTATTTTGAAATCTGATGCTCGACCGCTTCCTGTTTCGACCAGATTTGTCCCGACTGTTGTGGCTCAGCTGTCAGATCCTTTGTGACTGTTTTCAGGAATTATTTCCACCACGTTTTTTTGCCTGTTGTTCCCGTTTTCATTTCACAGTCTGGGACTTCATTCCAGAATTTTTAATTTTATTTTGAAAACATTCTGAGGAAGTTCTGCAACGTTCTAGTAATGCTTTCAGCTCCCAGAATGTTCTCTTTAATGGTAGGACAACTTTCCCTAAAGACCATTATGCCCTAATGTTCTTTAAACTTTTTTCGAATGTTGCATTAAGAACACAAGTTGTGTAACATTATATAATATTAGAACATTCACAACGTCTCTAAAACAGCCTCATAACGTTGCAGACAAAACGTTCTACCCTTATCAATACATCACAATACAGGAACGTTTTATAAAAGTTACTCGATAACATCTTGATTTCTTTGCCTGACAACGTCCTCCAAACATCTACTGACTTTCTAAGCTGACTTTTAACCTTCTAGGAACGTTATTCAAAATGATGAGAACCTTTAAAGAGTTTGCTGAAGCCTGCTGCCCACTCAGACGGTTCCTTAGATGGTACAGTTTTTAGTGCCTGCTAAATCAGTAATTGATGCGGCACGGCTAATCAGCTCCAGATGAGGTTCTGTTCAGAGTTTGGGGTTTAAATCGGCTGTAAAACGCTTTCGCCGGTCATTTTCCTGACCACGCTCTCTGTGATGTTGGTTTTGCTTGTTAAATAGCTTTGGAAATGATCATTAGACCGCTGGGAACACCATCTTCTGCCTCTTCCTTTGGGGTTCTTGTGGAGCCATACTGCATTTTCTTCCACAGGTTGTAATGGATGCCGTTTTGTCAATTCCGAGCCGGTTAGCAAAGATTCTCTTGCTGAGATGGCTGTCGTCTCATAATTCTCATTCATTTAGTCACTGTTGAGTTTGGATTATCTGTTGAGTTCCAACCTATACATGACAATAATGCTGACTCATCAAATGTTACTGGCATAGACTGTATAAAAGATGGACGTAGCTACCGTGACGTCACCCGTTGGTTTCTGCACTGAGAAAATGAAGCCAGGGTTTTGCTACTTCCTGGTTGACATCTTGGATTTTTGGAGCCAGTGATGCAAAAATCGTCGGAGGGGGGCGGAGCCATAGGAGCAGCGATTGGTCAGACGGATTGAGAGGCGGGCCCTCTCTGCCCGGCCACATTTACCGCCTTCTGCTCGCTTCGTCTGCATCGTTGGTGCCGACTGTCAATCAAGCCAGCCACGCCCCTTGCCCCGCAAATTGTTGACGATTTTTTTTAAAATTCAGTATTGATTTATTTTCAGATTGGCCACCTGATCTCTGGATTTAACTATGAAAACTAATTTAAAAAAAATCCTGAGCTGGAGGAATGCAGTATTTCATGATCTGTGATCACTTCTTTTCCAATTCATTTCTATGGGAGCCAGGGCTTTTTGGAGCCAGGACTAGCGGACGTAGTGATATTACAGGTTTTTGACACTTCCAGGTTGGCTTCATTTTTCAGGGCCGGTTGCTACGTCCATCTTTTATACAGTCTATGATTACTGGTCGTCCAGTTCAATGCTTCACACTTTTAAACCTGATTTATTGCACGCATTGAATTATCATCCAACTTTTTTGTTTCGTGTCCTTTCGAAAACGCTGTAATTATTTCACCAGTCAAATAAAATTATCAGACAATAATCAATGTCGAAGGCCTGCTGTGTGGGTGTTCTCAAAGATTCATTAGATTAATTATTTCCAAAGCTGCAGCCTGTTGAGCTGCATGTTGCTGAATGAAGCTGCTGCACAAACTGGATGCAGTGTTCAGTTAGTGACGTGTGTAAACATGTTTTCACGCTTGGTCCTGATTCGCTGGCAGGTCGGCTTTACTGGAACACAGATTAGAGAACTGGGAATATTTAATCAATCACATTATTTTCACACTCATTCGGCTAAAAACGATGGATGGTGTCAGACCTTTTTGATGCTTAAATGAACAAAGTTTCAGAGCTCTAATGTGCAGAAGCAGCAGCAGGAATTGTGAGCGATAAAATAAATATATATTAAGCTACATGATTAACAGTTTTCCTTTCCCTTGCGTCATTTGCAGAGCAGCTTTTTTGCGGTGATAAATATTCATATTGCTAATAGCCTCCCGCTTTAACAACCCTACGAGCGACGCAGATGACAAAGTTTGTGTCAAAGAAGAGCCATTTTTATGGGAGTTTGCACAAAGTTTGATGAAGAAAAACTTAACAAAGACAGCTGATTAGCTCCAACTGAGCTTTTGCATAGAAAAAAACAGGTTGTGTTGAAAAAAAAAAACAAACACTGCAGCATTTTTGCACAAGTTATCAGCGACCTTGTTTGACTAGTCAGGAATCAAAGCCTGATAAGAACTGTTTCCCCAGCTGTGAACTTTGACTAGTTTTAGAGTCACAAACTGCTCAGACAAAGTTCTGGAGTTTGAGAGGATACCTGAGTTCCAGGCGGTAAAGGGCCACAGCTGTGAGGCGTCCGGCTGCCAAACACGACCCTGTAGCCCGACTGGAGCAGCCGCTGGCCCAGAGACCGCCCCATGTCGCCCGTCCCAAAGATGCACAGCGGCTCCGGCTCGGGATCAGCTGCCGAGTTCAGGGGACACAGCGACACGCTCTCTGGATTCTTTGACATGCTGCTCGGTCTGTCAGGAGGGTTTGAAATAACAAAACAGAAATATGACGGAGTGTCCAAAGTCAACAAAAGTAAATCTGGGGGAGAGCAGATCAAACCCTCCGGTCCATGTGTCTGCTCCTCTCAGCTTTATCTCTTCTCCAGACTGACAGATGTTTCAGTTTTGACTCAGGTTTTTGTATCAGCTCATCCCCTCCCATTCTAGGGAAGCACTCCGAGGGGGAGGTCTGTCTAAACTGGGAAACTCCACAGAAAAAGGTGGGAGGCCTGAGTGCCAGTAAGCCACCGTGTGTTCTCTGTAACACTGTGTGCTTGTCTGAGTTCTGGGGCCCCCGTTTTCAAACGAGACCTTCTTCTGGGAAACCGGCGGCTTGTCTGTAAGCGGTTGCGCAACTCTGAAAAGCACATTTATTTCCACACACTCGCCAACATGCTTTGGTTTTTCTGGTTTTGCCAAATCGCTGCTGCTGCTGCTGCTGCTGCTGTAAATTCATATGTGAAGAAAAACCCGCTTTGTGCACCAAGTTCAGTTGAGGACATCCCCGAAGTCAACACAGCACCCTCTCCATTCGAGACGAGCGCTAATTAAAACCGCTTCGATGCGATTTTTTTACGGCGACATCAGCCATCAGCGTGTGAGGAGGGATTCTGTCAGCTGCTGAAGGTGGTTGGAAACAGGTTCAGGCATGAAACCAAAGAGCTGCAACACAACAACGGGATTATCTGACGTTTTACTCGTCGCAGTAACTCTTTACAAACACACGATCAGGTCACGGTATGCAAACACAAGCTCCCTCCCTCCTCCTTTACTCCATTATGTGACCATAATTACTCAGCGCAAAACAAATAACACACTTTTTTTTTTTTTTATTAGCAGGAGGTTATTTGCGGTGCACTCAGAGTGAAAGAACTCCAATCCTTCTAATCAGCCACTGATACGGTGGTCAGAAGATTCATGGAGTTTTGCAGGCAAACCCACCAATTACACTCTAATCTGCACTCTTGTGTCGACCCTATGAGTAATTAATGTTCTTAGCCGCGCAGCTCAAGTTGGCCTTTTGAGTGCAGCCCTTCTTATTTTCCCAGAGGTCCAGAATAGCTCCGGCGTTCAGGGTTGAGGTGAACCGCAGAGCCCAGTGACCTGTCCTAAACCGTAATTACTCCCACCGCTCCGCCGCTTCGCTAAGTGGCCGGTTGTGTGTTCTGCAGGATCATGTGTGTCTGCATGTGACACGAATATAACGACGTCTAAACCGCACGTACGCAGCGTAATGGAATTTGTCGCTGATTCGGTTTCTCGGGCGGTAATTAGCCCGAGACCTTAACAGCAATTAATCTGCCGCTCGGTAAACAGTCGACTCGCTTTATTCCTCCTCCTCTTCCTCCCACAAGATCTCAGCGTCTGAAGAGAAGCTCATGAGAAGGGCCACGCTCCATAAACAGAGAATAATCTGGACTCTTAGCAGAAAGTAAACAAGAGCAAATGCATGATGGGAAAAATGTTAAAGCTGAATGTAAATCCTGCAGGTCAGTGGCAGTTCTGTGGCGGTTTCAGTTCAAACTGACCCAAAGTTCTTTACCCTCTGAAGCCAAACAGAAGGATTAAGTGACACTTGTATTTAGTGTTTTATTATTTCACTTCCCAGTAAATTACAACGAACGTACTTGTAGAGGAAACTGTAAAAAAACAAAACAAAAAGAAGCATTTTCCTACAGATGTTTTATGGTTACTGTTCTGCAATAAACTGATTTTGTTGTGGTAAATTGTCATCTTCCTGGTTTTACTACAAATTATTTAATGTTTTTGTTTGTTTGTTTTATTCAAACTCTGTGTGTAATAATTTGTAATTCACCATTATATGCCTGTCAAGTAACATTTTTATTGTTTTCATATATTTACATTTAGATTTTGTTTAATTGTCAATAAAAATACAAATGAATAAAATTAATGTGACAGATTTTTACAAATTTTTATTTTTATTTATTTATTTATTGCATTTTTTGTTTTCTTGTAACAGGAATGCCACATTTTCACTAATTCCCAGTTGTTTGCTTTTTGCAGTTTTCTGTAACGTATCTGAACATTTCTCAACATAACCCTGAACACTGTCTGTCTTGTTTTCTATTCAGGTGTAAATTCATCAACACTTTGTTGCCAAACACGTCTTACTTGTCTAATAAAGGCACAAATCGAGACTCACCAAACAATATTTTACACAAAAAAAATAGTTCAATTCTCAACCACTGTAAAGGAAGAAAAACAGACATTTTGTCTTTTTAAATGAAACATTTTAAGCCTTTTTTTTTCTAGTAGCAAGGCTGCCCGATTTTTAGTGTTTTTGTTTGCTTTGCTTTTACCGTTTTTTTAATGTTACAAAATTTTACCTTTTTTTTTTTTTTTTTTACTTTTTTGTGGGGGGGGGTTAAAGTTAGTTTGCTATTGTTTTGTTGTTGTTGTTGTTGTTGTTATTGTTATTGTTTTTCTTGCAATTAGTGTGCCAGGCTTTAATTTATTTTAATTTTTTTTAAACAGTTTTTTGTTCATTTAAAAAAAAAAACTTTTGAATGTATTTCATGTGGCTGCAAGGTGCCAGATTTTTTCTTTCTTTTTTCTTTTTTTTTTTTTTACTTTTTTTTTTCATCTGCAGTTTTTAAATGTTCCACTATCCTAAGATTTGAACAATGTTTTTCTGGCAGCAGCAGTGCCCCATTTTAACCATTTTTATTGTTTGTCTGTTTGTTCTTTTAAACAGTTTTGAAATGTTCTGTGTTTTAACCTTTCCCCCCTTTTTTAATCTTTATTTTATTTTTTTGTAAAAGGTACCTTTTTTAAACCAATTATTTTAATATTTCTGTATTTTTTTGTTTATTATTTCTGGTAGCATGAATGCCAGGTTCTCTCTCTTTATTTTTTTCTTGTTCATTTATTTACTTTTTTTTTTTTACAGTTTTCAAATCTCCCATTCTTTGACATATTCTTGGTGGCACGACTGTCAGACTCTTTCCTTTTAAACAGCTTTTTTATTTCACAATTTTTTGACTTTTTTTAAATTTTCTGGCAGCAACAGCACCAGACTTTCACCATGTCTGTTCTTGTGAATGTTACAGCATTCAACCACTCAGTGTTTCCTGTCCTCCCATGCTGCCTGATTGTCTCTGCTTTCCAATGAAACTCGTATTTAAAGTGCAGAGCTGGACCCCAGCGAGCAGTCAAGCACTCGTGAGCTATACGCACCAAACAATCAAGCCTAAAGCAGCGCGGGTGGCTTTCTGATGATCAAAACAAAACCGAATGGGAGCAGCAATCACATATCAAATGTCAAGTCTGGGGAAAAAAAAAAAAAGGCACTCTCGGGTGATGATTGGAGCGGCCAGCGTTCCCGGGCTACAGCCATTACCGTGATTGGCTTTACACTGCGCGATATCTGATTGTCTAAGCAAAACGCGGGGTGCATTAGAGCCACGAGTCTACGCTAATGAATTCTGGTGCATGAAATGAGCCTCGCCGATACAGTAACCTATCCTGCCTCCTCCGTCGCCGTGCTATGTAATCACAATGATTGACTTTTAGTTACTCTTCTCAGGGTTTTAATGCATTGCGTGGTGTTTATTCAAAGGTATAATTGGTGGAAATTAAAGGAAGGAAGGAGGAAGCGATGTGGATTTTTGTGCAGCGAGTGGGGTTATCTGAGCAGATGGTCCCCAGGTAATGGATTATCAGATACATAAATAACCGTAGCAGCTATTCAGTGGAGAGCATGGGCGGAGGGGGATAAATTATTAATGATCTATACAGGAGAGATTTGTTGCAGAGTGTGATTTGATGTCTGAAAGAAAGAGGAAGATTGCACAGAGAGCGGGGGAAGTCATTCTAGATAATGGTTCTGTAGTAGGTCTGCAGGGGTTTGGGGGGTGAACGAGGATCTGAGATCTGACCGAGGAGCCAAGGAGCTGCCGTGCCGCGGGGCAAGAGAAGAGCCAGATATGTCCTGGCCCATGTTGGCTACAATGACTTTTCCTTGTTCTCGCTTCACCTCCTCCACATCTGCTGCTCTCCCCCTACAGGCTCCGGATGTCCTCGTACCAGACCCCCCCCTCAGCCACGTCTTTGAGGTTACGTTGAGGGGCCACGACGTGACACCCCGCCCGAAAGGCCACGTCTAAAAACGGCTTTCCCTCGGGAAGAAAAAAACAAGACATTTACACTCGGAGCGAAGCATTTACATGAGTAACACGAGGAGATGAAGTCCAGCTGGCTGGTTGGCGGCAGATGAGATCCTTCAGCTCGCCTCTAATGCTGCGTACGTCAGTGTTGGTCTGACGTTTGTAGAACCTGCCGTGATCGTAAAAGTAGAGACGGAGTCCTGAAGCTGCTCTGATGCATCTAAGAAAATGTATAAAATGTAGAAACTGGCCAGAACTGTACCTAATGTTTATGTCAAATATC